TTTGTTTCCTGAGATTAAGAATTCCTCATATCAGTGAGGTCATATGATACATGTCTTTCTCTGATTGACTTATTTCGCTCAGCATAATGCCCTCTGTAGCTTTTAATCTGTTTTTCGTATGTTTTGTTTTGCTGGGCTTCATTCATTTGGAGTCCACTCCTCAGATGTTTGTGTTCACCAGTCTCCCCTCACCAGTGATAGTAGCCGTCCATTGAGTTCCATTTTAGTGACCACAGTGTTCACTTCCAGGAATTGTTTCATTATTTTCCAGGTGTGTTTTCACTTTCGTGTTGTCTTTATTCTTCATTATGGTTCTTTTTTTCCAGGCGTTTTAAACATACTTACTCTGTAGTTGCCTAGGTTGCCCCATTTCGAGGTCTTGAGTACTAATTTCCCTTGCATGTCCTACCTGTTTACACTCTTGGCTCAGTTCTTCATGAGCTCATACTTTCTTGTTACAGATCTGTCTTTGGGGATTCAGTTGGGGGGGTACCCGTGTACCCTGGCTTGCAGAAGTATTCCTACAGAGCGGAGGAACATTTGCTTCCTGAGGGGCTCCCGGAGTTTTTCTTGCCCCAGGCAAATCCTGGTGGGCCTTTGGGGCTTGTTGTGGATTTGGACCACTTACCACACAGCAGGGTCAGGCTCCAGGTTTTGATTTCTCACAGGCTGCGTCTCCCATCACGGAGTAGCCAGCCCACATCCTTGCTGTTTCTCTGGATTGGTGGGCAGGAGCTTTAGGCTTCTGTCAGCCCTAAGGGTCACCAAGAGATCCTCCTGTTTGAGTCTGTCTGGCCCCAGCCCCCAGGGACCCTCATTGTCAATGCCACTAGGGATTCCCCACCCCCTTTTCTCGTTTAGCACATTTATGTTTAAATTTTCTTGTTTTTGGCGGTTTTAGTTTATTGCAAGAAAGGGAAGATCTGCATCCTCTGGCCCCTGGAAGGGCAGCATGAAATTACATTCTCATAGTTTCCCTGCCTCTCAGTCACAGTGGATTGTGTCCATTCTTAGCTATCAGGTGGGCCAAAAAATGGGTTGTTTGGTGGTGGTGGTCTTTTTTTTTTTTAAAGGGTACTGGGAAGGCGGAGTATTTTCTAATGTTTCCTGTGCACATTTTTTGTTACGACTGGCCATAACTGTATGTAGGTTTTGTTCTTGTTTTTTTTGAGGGTGGGGGAGGAGGGGAGAAAGTGCTAGAAGGTTCCCTAAGGCTGCACAGGAGTTCCTACGGTAAACCTGGGAACCTAGGCCCCTGTCGCTGTTCCATTGAGGTAGTGTCACCTCCGGGCATGACTGTCCTGAGAGTCCAGGCACTGGGATGAGTGCGGGGCGGGCTCTCGTGTGGCTGTTAGCGGGGAGCCTGCCAAGCCTTCTGCCTCAGCCTCGCGGTGTGAGCTGGTCGATCGGGGGCAGAAGCCTCTTGCAAGCCATGTGTCAGGTGTCCGTGGCAGACAGGCTTCCTTACGCAGGGGTGCCTTCGGTTGGCGGCACCGCAAGCCTGCACGGCTGGCCCCTCTGTGAGGCTGCTCAGGACTGGCCCTTCTTACCTTAGGGCCCTCTGTTGAGAACGGCACACAAGTTTTGGGGAGATGTTTGCAAGCCCTCCCATCCCAGTAAGTTCCACGCAGCAGCCAGCAAAGCTGTGGACTCCTTTTGTGAAGGGAGCAAAGACCCACCCAGGGTTCGGACTCTGACTACGGTGTCTGGCTTTCTTCTGCCTACCCTTTGTTTGGATACAGTGTTAGTGGCCTGAAACTTCTTTTAAAAAAGCTTTTTCCCTGAGGGTTCTAGAGGGGAGGGGGGGGATGGGGGGATGGGTTAGCCCAGTGATGGGCATTAAGGAGGGCACGTTCTGCGTGGAGCACTGGGTGTTATACACAAACAATGAATCATGGAACACTACATCAAAAACTAACGATGTAATATATGGTGATTAACATAATAAAATAAAATATAAAAAAAATAAAAAAGCTTTTCCCTTGTAATTGTCCTAGTAAGTTAATTGAATACTGTTATCTATGGTGTTGGGAGGTGTGTCTTAAATGAAATGAGGCATTTGGCAAATTATTTGCTTTTAAAATTTAAAACAGATTCAAGGTAGTAGCATGCACGTTGGTATTTGTGGTCTCGACGGCTGCCATTGAGGCTCCAGTGCTCTCCCCTTTTATATGTATTTGTCCCCTAAATTACGGGTTTTAAAGATGAAAAGGCATTGTTGGGGTGAAAGCACGTCAGTTTTTTCTTCCGTAGTTGCACGCCTAGCTACACATGTGAGATTGTTCTAGCTACCACACTTTCCTTCCCAGATTGGTATTTCTTAGGTGTTCAGAAGTAACTCTTTTTCTCACGGAGTTCTCTTTTCCATCCTGTGGGCAGAGAGCAGAATTCTTTCAACTGGAATAACACCCGTATTGTTCTTCATTTTCAACCATTTGGAAGAGCTTTACAGTGAGGCCTTGAAGGAAGGTTTAGGTGGACAATTGCACAGGAAGGGGAGGGCCCACAGTGGGTGTATTTTAGGCATTTGGAGTTTCTGTTCCTAGGAAGATAATGGCAGTACTGGGCAGGCAGTTGGAATTAGGGCCCTGAAGCTTTGGGAATGTTTGTGGAAGCGTTTGTGGACAGGCAGGTGGAAGGATGCTGAGCACACAGCACAGGACAGCAGAGGGACAAAATGTCGATTTATACAGGGAAGGTGGGTGCGGATGATACGAACTACATCCCTTAGGACGCGCTCCGCAGAATTTCTCCTTGCCCTTGCTCCCCACCAGCCCCGGGAGCCTTGGAGGAGGACTGGTGGGCGACGTGCACATCCCCCCGAGAGCCGTGTTCTCAGCAGACGCTGCTTTGATACCGGTTGCACTGAATTGAAGCTGGACCCCGTACAAACACTCGCCTCTTTGCAGCCATCACAGTTGGCTCCCTTCGTCTCTGGTGCAGAGGTTTTCTGTCCCTGCTTGGCGTGGCTTTCCTTCTTCTTTGCTTGTCACTTGGAGCCAGATCCTACTTGTTTAGAGAGATTAGTGCGTTCTCAGTGCTCTGGATTCCTGAGGTGTAGTCCCGACCGGGGGTTGCCGGCATCTGGTTCTGTTCTGCTAGTATTTTATCTTTCCTACGCTCCTCAGTTGTGTGGGTGTAGCTCTGCGGTCGGTAATGGAGCACAGTCTGTCAGATACTGAGCCTGCACAGGGGGTATGGGCCGGGGGCACGCTGGCTCCCTGACCTCAGGGAGCTGAGTGTAAGGGGCAGAGACGTGGGTCTCTGTTCAGCTTCCCTTTTTGGTTGGTGGTTTCCGTGGAGGCCCCTGGACCAGCAGCTCTGGGCCGGGTGGGGCTGGCGTGTTCGGGGGTCTCAAGTGCTGGTCGGTAAAACTGTGTTACGTTTTCATTTCAGAGAAGCCTGTGTCACCCAAGTCAGGAGCACTGAAGAGCCCTCCCAAAGGATTTGACACTGCTGCTGTTAACAAAAGCTACTACAACGTGGTGAGTAACTGCACAACCTGTTTTAGGAGTAACTTGGGTTTGTTTTTTGGAGGTCTCTAAAACTCTGCAATGGAGAAGATAGGTAAACTACATAGAACATGGAGAAGGATATAAAAATCATCCATTACTGGCTGCACAGTTAAAACAACCATTAATGTTCTGGTGTATTTTTTTCTCATCTGTTTTACAATCTTATAATTTTTTTCCAGTATTTATGCAGCATTGTGCCATTTTTGTCACATAATGTGGTGTTCCCTCAGACCATTTCAGGTCTTCAAAGATGAGACTGTAAACAGGTGCATGATGTGATGTAAAACCATTACAGGCATCAGGTGCATTTTACTTGTACTCAGAGTAGATTGTAAGTACTTTAGATCAATTACTGTTTCTGGTTTACTTGATCTTAACAGAGTCTTTCCTGGGATTGATGTACATATATATCAGAAAGCATGGAATCACAGGAGAGTGTCTACACGTACATAGTAAAGATGAGTGTTTTAGGATCTAAAACTGCATTTTGAAACTTAGGAGCAATTTGTGAACTTAAAAAATACCTGTGAAGTCTAGTCTAAACCATTGCATATACTGCAGAAATAGGAAATGATACTCTTCATTTGGATAACCTTTTAAATTGCTGGCATGTATCAGTGAGATAAACCAGCAAAGTGAACCTTGTAAATGTGGATTGGTCTTATTCCGTGGAAATTCTGCATTTTGGGTTTCTTCCCCGCTCTGAGTCTTCCAGAGAAAGTTTCCTGATCGCGGTTGTCCATCTGAGTGCGTGAGGCTGTGCGTCTTTGCCGTGGAGCGGCTCCGGGCTAGTGCTGCTGTGAGCAGGGCTCAGGGTTTTCCTAACTCTGTGCTGCTGGTGGGCGAGAGGGTGAGGCCGCGTGACGCTCCGCCATGCTGACCTGCTGCCGCGGCCTCTGCCGTGCGTCTGCGTTCTCAGCGCGCTGTGCATTCACTTGCCATCGGCCCCACATCTTACAGAGTGGGGTGAGCTCGGGGGTGTTTGTTGTCCTCCTCACGTTGGTTCGGTTACGTGCCCTGCAGCGGGCCCCGGTGGGGGCAGTGGGTTGTAGCAGTGCCAGAAATGAGGCCAGCCCCTGTTCTCCTGTGTGGATGCGGTTCATTGCTTCCTCTCCCTGCCTTCCCCGCCATGTCCGCGCTGCCTCTGCCTGCTTTCCCTTCCTCCCTTCTTGTCCCGTGGCCTCCGTGCTATGCCCTAGCCGTCTCAGATTGGTTTTCTTCATGTTCCCCGACGCCAGGCCCCTCTTCCTACGCAGTGCTTCGCTTGAGTCTCAGCCTCCGCTTCTCCCACTTCCTGTTCTTTTCCCAGTCTCCTCTGCTCCCTCCAAGCGCGGGCTTCCACGCCAGCTCTGCACTGAGAGCACCAGGCTCCCCAGCACAGCCTGTACTGGGGCCACGCACCTTTCCTGGTTGTGCTCTGCCCTCCACGTCCTGTTTGGTTCTTTGTCGGAGGTTTGTTCCTGGAACATGGCTCTATTGAGGTCGTTGGTTCTTAGTGTATATTGTGCTATGTGCGTGGCTCCGTGCCACAGTAAGAGTTGTCTTGTTGTTCTTCAGGGTTTCACAGTACGAGAACTTGTGGAGCTGCCTTTCCTCTTGTGTTCTTATGTGGGATGTTGGTTTCTTTCCAGGGGAAGGCTTCATGTGGGGAGTGTCAGCTTGTCTGTGTACCAGTACACAGTGATGTTCTGAAGGAGCTTGCTTCTCTTAGAGGTTAGAGGAAGCAAGTTAGCACCCTGTAAACCGGTACCAGCTGCAGCTCTCCTGTCTCTCTAGTAATCTTGCTCCCATTAGGGATTTTTGTCAAAGTAGGCAACCGTGCTTTTCTAGAAGTCCTGGCAGGTTGTTTTCCTTTGCATTTTATACATGCACACAGACACACTTAAAGATTTATTTACTTATTTTAGAGGAAGGGAGGGAGAGAGACATAATCCCAAGCAGATTCCCCGCTGAGCACGGAGTCCGGCATGAGGCTTGATCTCACGACCCTGAGATGATAAACTGAGCTGAAATCAAGTCAAGACGCTTAACTGACTGAGCTCCCCAGGTGCCCCTTCCTTTGCATTATAACTTCTGTAGTCCTCTTCAGCTTGAAGCATAATCAGAGCCTTTTTAGATTTCTTTTAACTGTGCTTGTACAGGGTAGAGAGCCTTCATATCACACGTGCTATTCTGAGTCAGCTACTCTTTAATTCAGAATACAGGAAAACACCTTGACCTCAGAATCACGTCGAAATTGTTGTTTACATAACGCTGTGTTAGTAAATAGCGCATGTGAAAATTGCAGTTGTTATGGACTTAACTCAGACCTCATAGGAATCACCTTTTAGGATAGCACTCCCATTTTATAGGGGAGAACACCAAAAGCTCTAGAGGTTAAAGCACTTGTCCGAGGTCACACACTGGTTAGTGACTAAGTCAGGAATAAATTCATCTTCTTTGAAGTTTGTATTTATAAATGACGTAAAGTAAAATATAGAACAGAATACCACATGCAGAGCAAAGTAGAATAGATTATGCATTCGGCATTTTCACACTGCCTTGGGTGGTTTCATTTTCTTTTTTTTTTAAAGATTTTATTTATTTGACAGAGAGATAGCAAGAGCAGGAACACAAGCAAGGGGAGTGGCAGAGGGAGAAGCAGGCTTCCCGCATAGCAGGGAGCCCGATGCAGGGCTCGATCCCAGGACCCTGGAAACTAGGTATTTCACAGGAAGTATAGGTATTTTTAACCCCACTGATTGGAGAAGGTTCTCCAAGAGGAAAGACTGTTCATGAAAGACTGGGTCTCTGCGTAGGCCCAGCGGAGAGCAGTGAGGAGAGCTGTAGGTGGAGGTACAAGCGTTATTGAAATTAAGACAGGAGACAGGCATGAATGGGTTGGATCTGTAACCTGTTTCTCCTGTGTGATGGTCAAGACAAGCCAAAAACACTGGGGGGTTCAAAGTGATTCTTGGTGACTTAAGACCGTCACAGGACATTCATCATGTTTCCTCTTCATGGGACTCCCACTGCGCACACGTTCAGTGTGATGGTGCCCATGGGTCTCTGAGGTGCTGTTAATGTTTGTTTTTTTCCGTTCTTCAGACTGAAAAATCTCTATTGTCCTTTTTGTTGGCAGATTCTTTTGCATTTCAGATCTAATGTTGAGCCCCTCTAGTGAATTTTTCACTTTATCACACCTTTCAGTTCATAATTTCCATTTGAGTTTGTTCAAATTTTCCATTTTTTTTAAAAAAAGATTTATTTATTTGAACGAGTGTGCAAGTATGTGTAGGGGAGGGGCAGAGGGAGAGGGAGAATCTGAAGCAGACTGCCTGCTGAGTGTGGAGCCCGACACACGGGGCTTGATCACGACCTGAGCTGAAACCAAGAGTTGGATGCTTAACTGACTGAGCCACCCATAGGCCCTCATTTGGTTATTTTTATAGTCAGATACACACTGTATTTGAGTCATCGTTTGACTTGCCTGTTTTAGAGCAGTTTTAGGCTCACAGTAAAGTGGGGAGGGTGATGGAGGTTTCCCATGGACCTCCTTCCTCCAAATGTGCATGGCAGCCCCCTGTGATCAGCGTCTCCAGTGGCTTGATGGTGCTCATTTTAGTGCAGGATAGTAACCCACTGTCTGGATGGGCCAGTTTATCCATCACCTACTGGGGGACATCTCGCTTCCTTCCAAGTACTGGAAATTATGAATAAAGCTGCTATAAACTTGCGTGCGCAGGTTTTTGTGTGGACATGTTTTCAGCTCCTTTGGGTAAATGCCAAGGAGTGCTATTGTTGGGCTGTGTGGTAAGAGTATGTTTAGTTCTGTAAGAAGCCACCACACTGTCTTCCAGAGGAGGATTCTTGTGGGACGGCCTCTCTGCGTCTGGTGGTGTCCGCGGTTTGGGTTTCGCTGAGGTGCTAGGTGTGCAGTGCTGTCTCCCTGTTTTAATTGGCACTAACCTGCTGACCAAGGATGTGGAGCATCTTTTCACATGCTTATTTGCCATTTGTGTATTTTCTTTTGTAAGGTATCTGTTCAGTTCTGTCCATTTTTAAAGTTGGGTTCTCTTACTGAGTTGTAAGGGTTCTTTGTATATTTTGGTCTTTTACCAGATGTGTTACTTTTTCCCTTTAACTTTGTAGTTTGAGGATAATATGCATGGATATAGCTTTTTTGGCATTTATCCTGCTTGGTGTGCTCTAGGCTTCCTGGGATCTGTGGCTTTGGTGTCTGACATTAATTAGGGGAAATTCTCAGTCATCATTTTTCAATCTCCTGTTCCTTCTCCTCCCGGGATTCCCATTATGTGTATGTTACACCTGGTGCCGTCCCACAGTCTTTGGATATTCTCCTGTGTTTTCTTGTGTCTTTTTGGTCTTCAAGGATTCTTTTAGGTGCCGGAGTGTGTGGTTTTTTTCTTCAACGTGTCCCCTCTGCTCATGAGACCGTCACAGGAGTTCTTTTCTGTTAGTGTTTCTCTATCAGTTTGCAGTTCTAAGATTTCCATCTCCTTGCCAGTTTCCCTTGCATGTGGCCTGCTTTATCTGCCAAATCCTTTAGCACATTAATCATAGTTGTTTTCAGTTTCTGGTGGGATCATTCCAGCATTCCTGCCATGTCTGTCTAGCTCTGATGCTTGGTCTCCTCAGATTGTGTCTTGCCTTTTGGTGTACCTTGTAAATTTTTCTTGATAGCTGGACATGCTGTGTCAGGTAAAAGGAAGTGCTATAAATAAGCCTGCCATGAGATGAGGTGTTGGCGGGAGGGGAAGTGCTCTCTAGTCCTGGGATTGCCGCTCTAATAGAGCGGGTGTTTTTACATACCACCCCTGCCCCCACCACAAGATGGGATGGCTGCGGTGAGCTGGGGCTGGGTGTCTCCCTTCCCCAGGTCTTTGAAGCAGGTTGGGCTCTGGCTAACTCCCTCGCCTGAGGGCAGTTCTCATTAAGAACAGAGGCACAGCACATTTCAGAACTTTTCT